CCCCAAAACCCCAAAACCCCAAAACCCCACATTCCTATCATCTAATTGATGAATAAAAGATAAAAATAATACAAATTTATAATATTAAAAATAATGAGAGCACTGCCAAAGTGCAAGTTCTCTCCTGATTGAGACAGAGTCTCTTACATGATCAGGAAGACTGGCACAAACACTCTGGAGAAGAACCTGCTTGTCTGCTCGCTTTGCATGATGACAACATATTCAGATCAAGACTCAGAACCAATTCCTGATATTGACGTCATTACAGAGTCTCTGAATCTTGGTAAGAGAGCAGGAGCATGAAAACCTTGTGGTCCTGGTGTTCCTAGGACTTCAACTCCTGGATAGTTTTGCCATATCTAGCTTAAACTGTTTTTTAAATATCGTGTTTCTTTTTATTAAATATCTTTTGATTGGCGGGTTTCCTAATCCTTGTGTAAAGCTGACTACAATGTCAGGAAAATCGAATTCTTTAAGGTTGAACACGGATTGAATCAAGAGTGGCATACAGTGTTATCACAACTTGAAGGCTTCAAGGCCACTTGTGGTGAAATCAAGGGTAAGTGGACCTAGATTATGAAGCTTTGATTTTTGATAAATTTTGTTGTGTTTTCTTAGATTCATTATTTGTTAAAATGTTGCAACATTAGTCTTATTTTTCATTTAAACTTACTAATTAAATAGCTCAAGCTTCTATTTTTTTTTCAAAACAAGATCTCTTACCTTTATAGAAAAACTCAAAGTCATTAAGAAAAGCAATAACTGGGAGCACCTAGTGGACATCCACTTTGAAATCAAGGACTTCATAAACTCACTCTTCAGCTCTGAGCTAATGAAGAACTATACCAAGCAACTCCATTGAGCAGAGTTTAGAGAAGCGAGAGGGTGCAGAACCTTTGTCAGTGATGTATCCCAGGCTACTATCAGAAACCAAGTGAAAGAGATTCAGGAGACTATTACTGCTACACAAGTCAATCCCCTCAAAGAGGCACTTAGAAGAGCTGCTCAGAGGGACAGAGACAAGAATGCCCAACTGGAGAGATTGGAACAGGACAAGAAGAACCTTGATGAGTCTCTTCATAACTCTGAGCAAGTTTCCTTACAAAGACAACAAGAGATTGTAAACCTCAGCCAGCAAATCCTGACTTTTGAAAGAGACCAAGAGCAACAAAACAGACAGGCAGAAGAAATGAAGCAGGAGATACTCGTTCTCGAGGACACTTTGCAGCAGGCGAAACAAACTCTAGAGGATACCTTGCATCAGTCTAAGCACACTCTCGATTACACAGAATTAAAAGCAATTCATAATGCCATGAAGGAGTCCTCAGATTCGTTCAATGAGGACTCAGAATTGGAAATTTGGGCACACAATGCTTCCAACCAAGACTTACTGAAGGCTCTGCAGTTATTCAGACTCCCTCCTCTGAAGAAGTTTTCTCTAAACTGTATCTATGCTTTAAAAAAACCTGAGCTGGTAGTGAAGTTCCTTTCCAATGCTTTGAGCGATAACATCAAATACTTCAGCTTCAACACTAACACTGATGACTGCCCTGAACTCACTCCTTACATGGCCACTCTGACCAAGATCCTTCCCTTCATCCCCTCCAGAGTTGAACTTGGCTACTGGACAATCGCCAACTTCCAGTTCCAAGACATCCTCGTGGCTGCGCAGAAGACAGACCATGTACAGTTCAAGAACTGTAAGATAGATGTTGGAGAGGAAGTGGACTTTGGAAGCAGACTTGACCAAGCTACTTTTACCAAGATCGATTTTGAGGGTACCGGGAAGAGTAATAAGAGCAATTGGAGCCAAAATGGGTTTGAACAGTTTAAATATGTGATGGAGGGGCTAGCGAAAGTGGAGAGTGTTAGGAATAGACAAGTTAGTATTTGCCTGAAGAACTGTGATATATTGAAAGATCAAGCTCAGTCAATATTACAGGAGAATGGAATGACGAATATGACAGTTGAGGAGATTTAATTACAAAAGAGATGAATAATAGAGATATCAATATCTCTATTCTATCTCGGGGTTTTGGGGTTTTGGGGTTTTGGGG